GCATCCTTTCACACCCCTGCCACCAGCCATGAGCATTCAAGTAGCATCTCCACACACCACAGGTGCAGAGGAGATGCCACCCTCCTCCTGAAAGCACATCCCCTCCTCATCCTTCACATGTCACTACACTGAAACTCTCAAGACACTTTCCCTCCCAGGCTCAAAGGTGACTAAGGCCAGTCTCTGCCCTCAAGGCGTCCCTCCCATACAACCCTACCAGAATGTACTGTAATTACTTGTTTCCAGGCTGGTCTCCCTCCCCAGACTGTGAGCTCATTAAGGACAGAGTTAACGTTGCCTCCCTTTACCCCCCCACTCAGGCTCAGTGAGGTGCCTCGGACAGAGCCAGTCCCAGGCAAGGTTTTGTTGAGTGGGTCTGGAAAGGCAACTTGCATGTCTACTGGTCAAAGCAGATGACATTTTGCCTCTGGAAACTGAAGCAACTCCAGAGAGAGGAGCTGCCCTCCCCCAGTATAAGGGACACTGTAGGTACTAGGAGCCAGGAAACATTCCAGGAAGGTGTCTGTCTTCCTAGCATCAGCTCTTCTCCTTTCACTGTTCCCCTCTACCTCACACCCATTGCACCCCACTGCATCCTGCAGCATGAACACTGTAGACAGGACCCAGTCTCACAGTATGAGTCTGCCATCGCTCTTGCTTCTAGGGCTTCAGGATCATCCCTAGTATCACTAAGGGTACTGGGGCACCCAGAGCTTACCCTTAAAGGGCAGAACAATCAACAAAGAATAAGACAGGAGAGAGCCACCCAATCCTCCCTATAAGAATGGCTCAGAAGAGGAACAGATTCTATTCCAGTACTTTGTTAGTTGTTGGTGACCTAGCATCTCCACACCCCCTCCCTATGGCTTCTCCCAGCAGAAATTAGGAAAGGCAGGGGGTTATGAGGGGCACCTGCAGTCTGATCAGTCCCCCAAAATGATTCCATCCAATGCAACTCTCCTTCCATTCTGAGTATCCAGAATCACTGCTCTAACAGCAGTGGGAGGTGCATGAGTTTGTTCACTAACTCCCTGGTTGGGCGTGGGGGAGGCAGGACACAACAGGGTTGGAACTTGCAAGTCAGAGCCAGCGGTGCAGGAACAGAGCTGTCCAAGTACCTCACTCAGGGCTTGTGCTACCTGAAGCAAGCCCCAGACCTGTGGGCACCTGTAGGCCAGTCAGCTACCCCACACCGGGCTGCTGGCTTTCTTTTCCCCCCCTCTCCCTCAGCAGTTAATAAACTTAGGTTATCAGAATTCTTATGCAAATGACAGGAGACAAGGCCACCAAAGGTTGGTAGCAGCCCTAGCCCTGCACAGACACACTCGGGCAGAGGTCAACAGCAACCCTAAAGGCCTCTTCCAGAATCAGCCAGCCAGGCTGCAGCAGGGCTCAAAAGGAAGATGAAGGGGTTCCCTTCCTTTCCAACACCTTCTCTCTTCCTCATCATTCTACCCTCATTCGACTAGGGAGCTGTAAAGAAGTAATGGGGAAAGGAGTGACAACTCCTGAGACTCCAGACGTGGTCTTCCACACTGTCTTCTACAGAGTGAAATCAACCAAGACAGAGAGGGATGACTCTGGGTGGGACCTGTAAAGAAGTAAGTTTGGGGCTAGAAGTCAACATGAACAAGGCTCACTGGGGCTGCTGATCAAGACTGTGGGTGGGAAGGGGTCATCCTCCCTGTTAGGGAGCCACGGCTCACTCCTACTGTTGTTCTCTCGTCACAGCAGGTATGTAAAACATGGCCCATGCCTCCAAGGAGAAGCTGTGAGCTTTGCGGCGGGTTTGAACCCAAGAAAATATTGTCCCCTTCCACAGACCTCACCACTTACTTTGGGGAAAGGGGGCCAGGATCCTAAACCAAAAAATCCCTGAGAGCAGCCAACCCATACAGCTATTTCCCCAACCCAGAAAGAGGCCTTGGTGAGGGTTCGAGGACCACACAGGGGTGCCACATGTCTAGCTTGCAACGCTGTCCATTAGAACCTCCTGTAATGACAGAAATGTTCTCAATCTGCACTGTCCAACACATGAGCCACTAGCCATAGGTGGCTATTGAGTACTTAAAAGGTGGCTAGTGTGACTGAGTTACTGAATTTAATTTTAATTTATTTAAACTTAAATAGCCACCTGTGGCTACTGACCATCATCTCGGACAGCTCAGGCAGAGCATACTTCTTAAATATGGGGAGGTCATGAACACTCTTGACAATTTGCTAAAAGCCATGGGCACATTGCCCTGAGAAAACATACCTTGCACATTCATATAACATTTGGCTGAAATTTTCAGAACATTCACAGACCTTACCCCAACCCAGATCTGAGATTAGATCTAAGATCAAGTCTAGAACTTGCCCAAAAATGCTGCACTCTAGCATCAATGTTTCTTCTGTAATGTAGTTGTTTAAAGAATATGAACATAGGCCTGATATTATACTTTTACATAGTCTTTGCAAGAGGCCACCAAGTGCAGAAGCCCCCACCTGATAGAAGATGTCCTCATAACAAGCATCCCCAAGACAGCATCCAGCCTCTACCCTGACCTGTGCAGACACAGGATGCACAGCACCTCTCAGGGCTAGCACTTCAGTCTTAGAACAGCTGAAAATGTTAGACAATTCTTTTCCGAAATGAGTTCAGTCTGCTGAACTCATAACTTTCTTCCACTAATAAAAGTTCTGCATACTCCTATACATGAAGGGCTTGACTACCTCTTCCACACAAGACTTGCCTTAGCTTGCATCCCTCTACTCATGTGCAAGCTGAACTGCCCTGTTTCCTTCAATTGTCCGGCATGTGACTACCCCAACAGATTTCAAGATAGGCTGTCAACATGCCTTTTAGAGTTTTGGCTCTACCTGCTAGGAAGCCAGGGTTCCTAACTTGTGTATTTCTTTTTTAAAAACAAAAGCAGGAGTTTGTATGTATCATAATTAAATCCCATTGAGTCTGGCTAGGGCTCATTGTTCCAGCCTGCCCCAATCTCCTTAGCCCCATGTTCTATCATTCAACTTACTAGCTGCATCATCACCACCACCCACAGCTCTGCCACACCTACCACTTACATCTTGTGAAAAGAAGACACATCCTCTCTGCTCCATAAGCCTCCAGATCCTTCCTGGAGACCCAAGGTTCTATGGACACACCCCTCCCCTGCACAACCACCACCATCTACCACTGTCTCATGGGGCTGCAACATCCTGAGTCAGGCTGCTGAGCAAACATCTCTTGAGAGCCCTTTCTTGACTGTTCTCAGAACAAACACACAAGTTCTTAAAGGGTTTTATGGATAAGTCACTAGACTAGAAGGAAATGAACTCCAGAAAAACAAGAATAAATACAGAGTAAATTTCAAGAGGTCCTTGTCCACAGGGTAAAGAAATGGGTTGAATCATCCTCCTTACCCCTGTTGGCACCTGGAATTCTTTCCCTGCTCCTCATGACTAATTTCTGCCCCTGCTCCTCGTCACAGAAGTGCTGTAGACCAGCTTCTCGTATTCTCATGGACATACAGGTCACCTGGGGATCTGGTTAAAGTGCAGATTCCGATTCAGTAGGTCTGGAGTAGAGCTGGGGAGTCTGCATTTCTAACAAGCTCCCAGGCGATGCCAATGCTGCTGGTTCACTGTGTAGCAAGGTAGAAGTGAGGCTATGAACCATCCAGGTGCACTTGGACTCAGATGAGCAATATGCAGTAGAAGAGTCCAGGCAGGTGCCCATCATCTCAGTCTCTCATCTGCAGCAGAGGGTCTCCATGCTAGATACACATTAGATATACTTGGGGAGCCCCAGACCAATTGGGCCCACCCCAGACCAATTAAATCAGAATCCCTGGGGGTTGAGGGAGTGCAGTGGGGAGTGAGGGAACCCAGGAACTGTTTTTTTTTTTTTAAGTTTCCCAAGTGATGTACATGGTTGATTAAAAAGAATGAACAGGGCAGTTATATCAGTGCCTTTCTTTCAGGATGATTTAATGTCAAAACCTGGACCTCTGAACTGTCCAAAAAGCTGGCAGCAGATACCACTTACTTGCAGAAATCTAGATCCATTAGTTTGATTGCGTTGCTCCACAAAGAACCACAGGGACCCCCGAAGTCATCACTTGCCTTTCTGAAGTCTCACAAACCACCTTTTTAAACAATCTGTTCTAGAACTGTCAAGCTTACATGTCTATAATTTCCACAATATTTAAAAAAGTGGACATTTTGCCCATCTGATTTTTTGGCCCTCTTTCAATCATCACAATTCCATAAAGATTGTGATTCCATAAGCACATTTGAAGGTGTTCATCAGGGAGTGAATGACTCAAACAGGCTCAGCATCTCTCCTCTCCCCAGTTTACACCTTCCAACACGACAGAGACCCCAGGGCTGTGCGCTAACTCGCTTTCTATCCCAGTTACACTCACAAAGTCGTAAGCCTACTTCTTCCTTCTTGTTCTTGCTGAGAACATAAAAAAGACTCGTTGTCATGAGCATTTTCCATCAGCCTCAGCACATTCTGGCCGCTGGACTTCCTGACGCTCCTCTTAAGGACTCAGACCACTCCTGAATCTGCCCTTAATGCCATGTACCCCCTTCCACGTAAGGAGCATGGCCTCTTACCATCTGCACTCACTGGAGAACAGCCCTGCAGCCACACAGATGGTAAAGTTGCTTCTCCACTCCCACCAACTCCCTCCTTACGCCATCATTCACATTTCCTTTTTAAAAAGCAAACCTACCCATCCAGCCAACTTCCCTTTTAGAGTGTGTGGCTATGGGATTAAAAACTGCTTGCATGTGAAAGACAATTTTCTAAAGTCAAGGGTAGACACTTCTCCTTGCCCCGCTTCTTTCAGACTTCACAGATGCTAAGAAGGAGTCCCTTTCTCTAAAGATTCTCATCACTTCTACTTCACCAGCCAATCCTCCCTTTGTTGCAGGGAGCTGGGGCCAGCCTAAAAGCATCCCTCCTCACAGCCTCTGTCTTCAGGAAGACAAAGCTACCAGCGGGCCAGGCAGGAATTCACCAGGCGTTCCAATCCCCAATTCCAAGGTATCTTGTCTCAAATTTTGTACAGAGCTCTACTTCAGTGACTAAGTCCACTTGGCTGAGGGCCAGAAAGTGTTCTCACACCCTATCTCTTTCCATTTCTCTCATTCTCGCCCATAATGCCCTCAGTCATGCTTCCACCCTTATGCATATGTTTTTCTATTCAGTTTCCCCCCCCCCCCCCAATAAAGGGTTATTCTCCTACTCTCTCTCTCACCCATGGGCAACTTTTCAGTAAGGCCTAGGACCATGGTGACCCCTTGCTCTGGGGTGTCCAACCTTCCCCCCCTCCCCCAGCAAAGAGTCAAACTCCTCCCTCTCTCTGCCTGGCCCCATGGTTCCACCCAATGGGTCTTACATGAGCAAGCAAGGGGATGTCTTGAGAAACATTTAATCTGTATTGCATCTTTACAACCCAGAGACTAATGCACAGTTGTTTATGCATAAAGATTAATTCTTTTCTAGACATTCAGGAATGTTTTGTCACAGTGTACTGATTACCTACTATGTGCCAGACATTATGCATATTTTATCTCATTTAATCCTCACAACAACTCTGCAAAGAAAGGTTATTCCCATCTTACAACTGAGAAAAATTGAAGTGCAAGAGAGAAAATGTTGCCCAAGATAGTAAGGGGCACAGCATTTACCTTGGGTTCTAAGCCCTGCTGTGCCTCTACATCCATCAAATCCAACTTTTCTAATCAGCCATTTTCATTAGGCTACCAAGCCACCATTCAGGTAAAAAGAATGACAAACAGCCTTTGACATCAGCCTAGGATCTAAGTCTTTCCCAGAAGTAAGAAGGAAGACCACAGTACAGGAATGTACCCCTTCAGGTGTTATATACAGCTACTGCCAACCTGCCCCAATCTCACATTAGAACCCAGAGAAGTTGTCACCTGCCCCCCGGGAGCTGTCTCTAGTCTCAAAAATGTTGAACTTCTTTTCTGAGTAGAGGGATTCCCCTGTACTCTCCTGCCAAAGCCCACTGTAAAAAAAGAGTGAGGAATAGGGAAGACAGAAAACCAAGCTAATCTCCCCCTACCCCTTTCAGGATGATACAAAGCAGCTATCAGCAGAGACTTCAAAGGAAGCCCCAAAGGCAGCTGGGAAGAGATGGAGACAGTATGAAAGTAAGGAAAGGGTTCTCAGAGGAGCGGCACCACTCTAACAGAAGAGGAAATGCCAGGGAGAAGAGATGCAAGTAGATGGTCTGATTTCCAAGAGACTCCTGGGATGCTGTGTCCTGCCCCACTGAAGAGTTAGGGCCAAAACAACCTCCCCAATCCCAGGACATGTTCCTATTGCTACATGTTGCTAAAATCTAATGGCTAAGGTCCCAGCAGTTCCTGGGGGCTGCTGAAGCTAGACTGGTCCTCGGGCTCATTTGCTCAGGCAGTCACTCAGACATGTCTTAGCTCTGTGACTATGCCAGAGATATGTCATTAAATGTAGTGTCACCTGGACAGTGGTTCCCAGGCTTTCAGCCTTCATGGACCAATAAAAAAATTTTGTGGAGACAGATACTAGTTACGATTTTGTATCTTACCAAGACTTAAAAAAAAAAAAAAAAAACCTACTTCTTATCAACACCTTCACTTCATAAAAGAAAGCACATTTGAAACATCAAGAAGTAGAAAGGACCAATCCTTACAAAAAAGTACTGCTCTTTAAGTTAAAGAAAGTTAGCTTTAAGAAAAAACTCACTCCATTGTCTCCTTTTCATTGTTTCCCCCAAAACTGGGAGAATTCCATTGTGGGCCAGCAGTGGTCCACAGATCAGCGTGTGGACCCTCTGTCCTAGAGCACTAAAAAAACAAAAAAAAAAAAAAAAAAACCTACTTCTTATCAACACCTTCACTTCATAAAAGAAAGCACATTTGAAACATCAAGAAGTAGAAAGGACCAATCCTTACAAAAAAGTACTGCTCTTTAAGTTAAAGAAAGTTAGCTTTAAGAAAAAACTCACTCCATTGTCTCCTTTTCATTGTTTCCCCCAAAACTGGGAGAATTCCATTGTGGGCCAGCAGTGGTCCACAGATCAGCGTGTGGACCCTCTGTCCTAGAGCACTGCAGGCCATCCAGCACATTTTATCTGACTCTGGGAGCCTAGAAGGGCAGCTGACTATGTCAAGGTCCACAAGGATGCAGACATCTCTCAGCAGGGTTGTCTCTAGGCCTCAGCCAACCCATATCCACGGTGTCTTAACCACGACCACCCAGCAGCTTACACACAAGGATGACAAGGCCCTGGCCTCGCTCCCAGCCCTGTCACTCAGGTATGCTTTGTTATTGCCAAAAGAAGCATTTAAACACAGTTCTACAAGGACCACCGGTTCCAAGAACATCTAGCCCAGAAAGCTCAGTCTCTTCACCCCTTGGGTTTGATTATGGAGGAATGGAGTGAGACAAAGGAGGTGGGGAGGAAATGAGCACTAGAAGGAAGGAAGCAAAGGGATCAAGCTTTACAAAGTAGACTCCTTACACCAAAATGCCAGACCTTATGCCAAAAAGTGAAGCCTACTCCTGATCCCACTTCCCTTTCAGAAATGACTCGCAGGGTACGGGACCAGCAGGATGCTAACTCCCTCCAACCCCAGCAACATAAAGGGGCTGGACACCATCTCCCAGACTGGGGAGCTGCAGATGTGATCCAGATGTCTGCTTTAACCAGAAACAGAAAATAGGGCATCAAGTCTGTGGTCCCTGGGTCATGACATACAGCTTCCACAGGGAAGGGACAAGAGAAGGTGAGAAGGGGCAGAAACATCATTGCAACACCTACTTCCCTGCCCCCAACACTTGGATCTGTCTTCCTAGCCAGGGGACCATAGCCCCACCAGCTCACGGAACAGCTCCGCACTCAGCGGTCAGGGAAATCCCGTGCGCAAGCTGCCGGCCCATCGCAGCCGCGGGTGCCCTAACCCTCAGAAGTGCAGCAGCTCCCAGCCCAGCTGGAAGGGGCTTCAAAGGCCATCAAGTACAACTCCTCCATTTCCCCAAGGAAAAGACAGGCCCAGAGATAGAGGCCTGGGTTGTCTGGGCCCTTGGACAAATGAGTGGCAGAGCCGAGGGAGCCCCGCAGACAGCGCAGGCCTCCGCCTCTGTCCAGCGCCAGTTCCGCTGCCTGGAGCGACCTCAGCCGCTACACCACTCCTCCTGAGCTGCTCAACTTTGCTAGTCTCTACTTCTGCCAACTCTCCGCTGTCGCGGCTGCCACCAACCTGGAGTTGGCAGTCCGCCACCAGAATGGAAGGAAAGGACGGCCAATGCAGGGTCACTGCCTATCCGCCCCCCCCCCCACTCCACCCACTCTCATCCCAACTCCTCCTTCCCTCTTCTATCCCCCCTACCCCAAATAACGGGGTTGACAGTGTCTCAAAAGCACATCACTCATTCATGCAATTAGTAAATGATGCAGTAGCTCCTACTACACACCAAGGAACTGTGCCAGGTCCTCAGAACACAGATAAAAAACAGTCTTTGACCTCAAGTAGTACTCAGTACAGTAGGAGAACCCAAATCATGGATTTCTCATTATATTCCCAAGCAGTTTCAACTGGCTCTCTTGCCACCTGAGAAAAATGATGGTACCCAAGGAAAGGTTTAGGGAAAGAAACATCTTACTCCATCAGGGCAACATAAAACCACCCTGTCACTCCAGAGCTTTCTCTCCAAATCCATCAGCCTCCATCCCTTACCTGACACTATCACTGCCTACAGTCCCCAAGCATTAATGTGATCTTGAAATACATCTGAGGTGTCAAGCGGAACAAGGCACTTCTAGAGATAAAACTAGACACCACTTGCAACAAATGCAAACACCAGAGATGAGGGTACTAGCTCAGAGCCCTCTGCGACCCAGTCTCATACAAACTGCCAGCCCTCCAAAAGAGCCCAAACCAGCTTCCAACATCAATTACACTCCTATTCAAAGCAGGACCAAGAGGATCAGAAACGGGAGTACGGGCTTAACTGGAGGAGTCTCGAACAAGACCCCTATAATTACAGCACCGTCGAGGAAGGGACGGGAGCCTAGCAAGGGCCAGCTTACCTCCTTGAGGAGCCCCACTTTTTTCTTCAGCACTTCACACTTGCGCAATTTGCAGATCTGATGTGTGCGGCGGTTGGTACAACTAGTGCATGCCCCACAGTTTTCCAGCCGCCGGCAGGGCTCACAAGTACCACATCGTTTCCGTTTCTTTCGCCCATCTCCACCCCCTCGGACTTGGGACTCACTCCCGGGTATGGGGAGCCCAGACCCCTGGAAGCCCCCTACCATAACTTGGCCCTGAGGGAAGTCATAAAGGCCTGGCAGGTCCGGCTGGACCGCCAGGGGCACCTGAAACTGGCTCATGACGCTGCCAGAGGTGGGGGCATAGGTGCGGGGGCAGAATCTCAGTCCAGTTTCCTGCCGCCTGCAAAGGCCACCAACAGGTCCTTCTCTCCCAAAACAGTCGAGAGTCACAAGGGTGAAGGCAATCAGCTTCAGTCTCCTGGATGGGCGCCTCTTCTCAACCCCTCTTCACCTCTGCTGCAGCAGTCTCATGGGGCTCCGTTGGGGGCCACTCTTCCACCTGCTGGGGCCCAGGATCTGGGGGAGGACACCAGCAGCAGCCCGGAGGGAAGGGATCATCTTGGCTGGGTGGGTTCTTCACCCTCACCCACCCTGGACCCAGGCATGAGGTGAGCAGGTGGCTGTGTGGCGGGGGCAGGGCAGGGTGAGGAGCTCCTCCTCTTGGTATTTCTCCTCCAGGGTCAGGATGATGGAGAAGGCAGCGCTGCCTGAAAAAGAGACAGAAAGGGGAAGCGCATCACTGGGGGCTCAGGGACAACTTTCACGTGTTCCCTCTTCCTGCTTCTGAGAGGAGAGAAAATGGGGGAAGAGAGGGCTTGCTCAAATGAAGTCCTGCCCAGAACTTCAGGCAGGACGCACCCAGCACCCGCTCCCTGTCTGAGGAAGCGAGCCTGACAGCGTGCTGCGGGGGCCTGGACTACGAATTCAAGGGGTGGTCAAGGTGAGATTTCTAAGAAAGTTGCCTCTGCCTCACCCCCGCGGGCTCGTGAGTTTCTCCAAAATTCCCCCATACACCCTGCACTGGCGGCCGCCGGGCCCTCCCCAAGTGAGCGGAGCTTTCAAGATAAAGTTTGCTGAGAGCCTCGCTCGCCGGGGCTGTCCGGGCGCCCCCGGCACGGAAGCGGCCTGGCGGTGGGGG